TTGGAGAATGTTTTGGATGCATTGATTAGATTTAATGGAGATGATGAAGCCAAGATTGGATATGCTTTTGAAAAACTAAGACTAAAAGATGACAGAACCGCAAAATCCATTACAAGATGGTTGTTTTCAACCTTATTGACTAAAGATTAGATTCGTTATGAATATTTCGATATACTTAAGTTGTATAAGCAACCTCAATTCCGAGTTTTAAAAACAATACTGGGAAAAGAGAGGTTCTGTTTAGTTTGGGTATTTCATCGTACCATCAATCACTGGAGAATCAATTAATGACGAATTAAGAATCAATTAATCAATTAAGATTTAAGATGTCTTTAAGTTTATATTATACACAATGTAAGGCTGACCTTCTCAATGAATATAAGCCGTCATAGCTCAGTTGGATAGAGAACAGGACTTCTAATCCTGGGGTCATTTTATCTATATTGGAAATAACATCAGACCCTTAGCTTGAATTTATTTTATTATTGTTGTTTTTTTGATCCTCATCATTAGCTCTGTAATCTGTTTCACATATAATTGTATCCATTATTGTTGGCCACCCTTAACATTGAACATTTTGATTTCAATGATTTGTTGTAATCATGAGCTCATGTTGTCAATCAAGGAGATGGGTTCGATCAATATCATTACAATCTCAATTTTCAATAACTGGACCAAGGAAATTCATTTATAATTCAGATTTTATGATTATGAATGGCAACAATTTGTCAATTATTACTCTTTTTCCTTTGCAATTTTAGTAAAATTAGTAATCGAAGAGTAAAAGATCTTATCGACGATGTTTGCCTTTTGTTCACTTTATTAAGGTAATTGAATGGCTACGGCCATATCACGATGAATGCACCTCATCCCGTCCTATTTGAGAAGTTAAGCATCGTCGAGCCACATCAGTACTGAGGTTGGAGACAACTTGGGAACCTGTGGTGCTGTAGTCTTTTTGGCTTTTGAAAACTGATAACTTTATTGAAATAATCCTTTTTTTATTTTCCTATAAACAACATGCTCATTCATCATTACAAAACATGAACCAAGTTTGTGTCTAGAAACAAAAATTAGTTCATGACAGAATTTGTTTTGCAAGTCTGATCAGAACAGAACTACTTTCTTAAAATATAAATTTCTTTTCATGAGAATAAAAAACAATGAAGGTGGTTTGAAATCAAACAATAAGAAAAAAACAAAACGAACAACATAATGCAATTATTTGTCAAAACACTCACTGGAAGAACTATCACTTTGGAAGTTGAATCTAATGATTCAATTGAAAATGTGAAAAGAAAAGTACAAGATAAGGAAGGAATTTCACCAGATCAACAAAGACTCATCTTTGGTGGAAAACAATTGGAAGATGGAAGAACTATTGGTGATTACAATCTTCAAAAGGATTCAACTCTTCATTTAGTATTGAGATTGAGAGGTGGTTGAATAATCAAAGTCAAAGATTCTCAATTATTGTATATAAATTGATATTAGTACAATTTCTTTTTGGAATGTTCGCTTAGAAAATTTGAGTTAGGTGGATCTAATAGAATTCAAAACTGTAAAATAAGCAGAAGTGTCATAAAAATTCGATTAATTGCTTTGTGTGGTAAAAGTATCCGATGAGACGGAATCGAACCGCCGACCACAGGATGACAGTTTTTCTTGCTACAGTCCCATGCTCTACCAGCTGAGCTATCATCGGTATTCATCTGTTCTAAAAAACCACACAACTACTATCAAAAATTTCTCTGTAATTTGTTTAATGGCTTCTCAATGAAGAAACCTAACCGGCACAGTATTTGGCCCAATCAAATTATTATAATTCTCCAGTTAAATAATCAACATCCATTACTTTAGAACTCAGCTTGCTGTTGGGGCCCAAATTATTTTGTTTCTCAAACGAAAAAAATACCAACAAATACGAATCCACAAGATGAAACTATTCGCCAAATCTTCCACACTTGATCAAGCACCACTTGAAAGACTTTGTGATGATGAATTCCATAATATTTTTGAATATACAAACATCAAGGAGGATAGAGAAGCAAATTTTAACATTTCATTGGTGAACAAACGATTAAACAAATTGGCTTCCTCCGATTTGTATTGGAAATTCATTCTTCATCATTATCCTAATCAAGAGGAAATTAAGCAACTTTCTTCTCCTTTGAAATCCAATCTAATAGAAACAAGAAAGAAGAAATTCTTGAAATTCGATACTTCACTAATTCAATATTTATCAGCGCCTCCTTTTCTTTTATTTCTTTTACTGATTGCATTCTTATTTGTCATGTCAATAATTTTCATTCCAGTGGCATATTTCACTTTCAAAGATTTTGTCTGTTATAGAAAGTTAATTTCCAAACAAACTATTCAATTATTTAACACTTCACCATTGAATGGAACTTGTGTTTATTGTAATGTTTCTAATAATGATCATTTGAATGAGAAATTGGATATTGTTGAGTGTAATTTCACAATGAGTGGAGATCCCCTTTCATATCCATGTTGCATGAAAGAGAAGAATTGCATCTATGACAAGTATCCACTCAACATGTCTTCTTTTCGATATGAAATACAGAGCTATGGAATTCAAAAAGGTAAAACCATGTTCAATTCCACCTATTTCTATGATTGCCTCGATATGGAATGTCAACCCAGCAAATACCAAGATTATTACACATATTGCCTCTCTCAAAAAAAACCAGGTGAATTCGAAATAGATACAATATCATTACCTATCTTGTCATTCATAATGATTGGTTGTACTGTTGTCATTGTATTGATTCCATTTCTCGCTATTATTGCTCATTATTGTTTATTGCCATTTTCAAAGAGTTTGTTTTTTTGTTTGTATTGGAGAAGTTGTTTTTCAGAGGAAATTGACAAGACACATGTGAAATTGGACACAAGAAAACGAAATGGATGTTCATCTTTCTGGTTGAGTTTGTTTTTGTGGCATTTGAATATGGCAAATGTTTACATACGTATTGAAAAGGAAGAACAAACTTCAAAAGAAGAGATTTAGAACAATTTCTTCACCAAGATTTCATATTTAAACTCACTGAATCACTGACAGTAAAAGTCAGTAACAAACTGTTCGTTGTTGATTGACAAGTTCAGTTCAAAACAAAATAGTTCATACCAAGCAATTAATTCTTCATCATATCAATGGACAAGGATCAATTTTACGATCAGACAGTTTATTTCCACATTGTTTGTCACGACCTGAAAAACAATAAGAATTCCATCACCAAGATGGACACATTCTGTGTCCTCTCCATGGACAACAATAATGGAGATGGTTCGAAGGAGATGGACAGAACAGAAATTCAAAAGGCCAATCACAATCCAACCTACTTGAAACCACTCTCCATTGTCAGATCATCCTATGTCCAATCGTCAGTCTCCTCCCTTACTCCTCTCACCTTTTCAATCTATCACTCCTATTTTGCCAATTATAAGGATCATGAAGATTTCTTGGGTAGGGTTTGTGTGAATATTTCCACACTTGCTCATGCAACGAATGGAGTGATTAATTTGACATTGGTGGATAAGCAGGATGTGGACGTTGGTTCCACAATTACTATTCGGTTTGAGGATAAAATTGCTTCGGATTACAAATTTGATTTACAATTTGCTGGAAGTGATTTGGCAAAAAAGGTAATTTTTCAATTTATATTACAAATGTTTTAAATGTAAAAAATTGAAAGGATTTATTTGGAAAATCAGATCCATTCTTTACAATTTCAAGAGAAATTAATGGAAGAATTATTGATATTTACAAATCAGAAATTATTAAAAAGAATTTGGATCCAATTTGGAGCTCTTTCAGAATGACTTTTAAGAGTTTTTGTAATGGTAATGACAATGAACAATTGAAAATGTCAGTTTATGATTGGGATAGTGCCACTGATAGTGATTTTGTAAGTTTAGAAATTGCTTTATTTGGAAATTAATTATTTTTAGATTGGAGATTGTGTATTTACTTTCAAGGAGTTGAAAGAAATTGGATCAGGACACTTTACTCTCAAAGACGGAAAGAAATCGACTGGTAAAATTTATGTAAGAAATTTGGATTTGAGATACATGCCAAGTTCTATATAAGGAGATGTTTAATTTTGAAATCCTATAATATTTATATATTCACTACAATTATAAAGATGTACATAATTTCTCTAATTTTACAATATTAAATGTAGGAATGCAATCATCATTGCAATAATTTCCATAATTATTAAATTACCTGATCCGGAAACTACCATTCTAGATGATCTACTTGGTTCAATAAAAATCGAAGGACTACTGGTAACTACAACATTCTTAAACTTTCTAATGCCGGAATTTCTATCACTAACATAAATGTCGCTTGTCTTTTCATTGACAACCAATCCCCTCAATGCCATAAATGAAATATCCTTTGGATCTCTATCAGGAAGCCAGAATGATGAGGATTGATTTGGAGTTCCAGCAATAATCTTGACAATTGCCTCACTTTTAACATAAATTCTGACTAATTTATCTTCCATAATTAGAATATCACCATTTGATTTTAAAAAAAAGGAAGATATTCCTTGAAATGAAGTTTGAAGTGCTGGCATATTGTCTCCATTATATCCAGAAACATCATTTCCAACAAGTGTTCTCAAATAATATCCATTAGATTGTTGTTCAATGACTTTGATTTGAGTTGCAGTTGAGAAATAATACGAAACTTGGCCATTCGAATTAATCTTAACAGAAACTGATGAGAAATAGCCGAATTTAGTTGTATTTGTGACAGGCCCATCAGGACTTGTAGCATAATCTGAACTGAACAGCTTTCTAATCACACGAGTATTCTTGTCCATCTTGAATATATCCTGCATCGTATACAAGTATATTTCTCCATTCGAATCGATTGTAAAATGAAATAATACAGGCAATTTGACATTTGAAGCAGCAGTATTATCAGTTATTTGGCCACAACCAGTTCCTCCAACAATCACATTGTAATTCATTGTCAATGGATCTAATTGTAAAATTCTACAAAAGTCAGCAAGATAGAGTTTCTTATCATATTTCGAATATTGAAGAGAAGATTGGGTTCTTCCTCGGAATGAGAGAAGAGGGAATGAGGTACTGGACACAATCTGTGCGAGAATCAGAGAATCTGTAAGAGAATTGATTTGCTTTGTTTTCTCATCAAACTTTTTGATTACTGTATTTTCCAAAAAGTATACTACTCCATTTTCTTCATCCAAAGTATGAGAAAAAAGATTACCCAATGATTTTGTGGGTGGCATGCCTAAGAATATTTGATACTGAGAATTTGAAATTTTTCCAATGTAATTTGTGGCAGTTAAATACAAATCTCCATTGTTTACAACAATATTGGTAATATGCCTTTGAAAATTGTAAGAAATATGAAAATTTAGATTGGAAACTTACAGAGCTGTTTGATCGAGTGGCTTATTTTCTCCATTATAGCCATAATAATCGAAAATATTTCCAGAAACATTGTAAACTGGCAGTCCAGCAATTCTATTAATATTTCCATTTTCAATTTCGTATAATCTTGAAGTGTCACTAGCATAGATTTTACCATTATTTGTATGCAGTGCATAAGGTGGATAAGGGAGAGTGGTAACAAGAGTGGCATTTTCCATTTCACTCACCTTAACTTTCCAAATTTCCTGATAATTCACGAAATAAATTTGTAAAATATCATTTTCCAAATTAATAGAAATTAAAGAGGTGTGTAGTAATTCAGAATAAAAATAAATGCCATTATAGATCGCAATTGTACTGTCAAAACTGAGTGCCAATAAACCTTCTGCAAATGATTTTCCATAAGTGGCAATTCCATATATGACAACATTTGTGTCGTAAGAAAATTTTGTAAAAACTTGACTTTCTAAATTGTAAAGAGCAAAATTATTGCTACCAGAAATTTGTATCACTATATCTCCATTTTCATAGATCCCAATTTTAGACATTTGTTGAATGTAAATTCTTGTTGGAAGAGTTTCGGTGAGCGCATTCTGTGAGCTTCCAAGTACTGTTTTGATGAGTCCATTGGATATCTTTCTTAGAATATTTGTACCCTCTACAAAGTACAACTCATTCTTGTAGAAGAAAGTGTTAGAAACTAGATTTTCTGAATAATATTGAGATGCTGGAATAGATTCTCCAAAGGCATGATTGATTAAACCTCCAGCAATGGTAGTTACAATCTTATTGATGGTATCTACCTTTCTGATACAATTATTCTTACTATCTGCAATGTAAATAATTGAGTTCTTGACAAGAATTGATTTAGGTCCATAAAACGAAACTTGTGAATAGGAATCATTCAAATTATCACCAGTGTAATTTCCATTCGAATCTTGACCAATGAAAAGAAGAGTATCGGATGAACCAATAGTCTTCTTTTGAATGAAATGATTTGTGTTGGAAGTTGTGTAAATTTCAGAGCCAACAACATAGATTCCATATCTGGAAAGATTAGTTTAGATCTTGAAATTATTGTAAAACTTACAAGTTGGATTGGCCTATTCCACCATCAACTATTTTGTAATTTCCCTTGCTATCAACACTCTTCAATCTTTCTTCATCTGTAAAGTAAACAGTTTCGTCTTTTCCATTCGAAACAACATGAATATTCTTTGGAGATTGCAGAATAATGTTATGTGCATCAACCCCATCATAACTTCCATCCAAATAACCACCTCCTGCAATAGTTGTCAAGGTTTTTGTTGTTGGATCATACTTTTTAATTAAATTATTTCCAGTATCTTCAAAGTTTCGAATAAGTATTTAATATTAAAATAAAATTGATTGGATTAATAGACTTACCTGCAATGTAAACTAAATTATTAGCAGAAACAGCTACTCCCAATGGTTTAGAAAATGTACCATCAATTGATGAAACTATTCCATTAGAAACTATACGAATTTTGTCATTTTGGCTATCAGCAATATACAAATTTCCATTTGGTGACATGGCAATTCCATTAGGTGAATTAAACAAACTATCCAATGCGGAATATCCATCTTTCGAATAACCAGCAAAGCCAATACCAGCAAATAAACTAATTGTTCCATTACTAAACATTCTAAAAATTACATGTCTACTACTGTCAGAAATAAACAAATCATCAGATTGACCAGCACAAATACCTGAAGGAGAAAGCAAGAATGCTTCTTTAGCATTAACATTTTGCAATGTTAAATCTTTGACTAAAGGTTTCGAATAGAGAGTTTCTGATCGGTAGAAAGATGTAGAATTTGTGGCCAATGCTGGTTGTGTGGTGGTGTGAAAAGACAAACTGATAATAACACACAGAACCGCCAATCTCATACACGATAAAAGAAAGTTGGACATTTTTTAAAGATACGAAAAGGAATTGAAAGGTGTGTTGGAACGGATTTAGAATTTCCTTAGATGGCAAGTTAAAAATGTTTAAATACATTAAATACTTTCAAAGAAGTTTACAATATTTTTCAATACATTTTCAGAAGTATGTAAAATATTGCCGCAAATTTGAATGTAAATTTTCATCACCAAAGTCGATTGATTTAAAAAGTTCATCAAATTTCATAAAAAAATTTAAAAAAAAATAAAGAAAAATCAAGATGCCACTCAAGGACGGTGATCGTATTGCATTGAATATTATCAAGGCTGTTGATCTTGTTGCTGCTGATATGAACGGAAAGTCAGATCCAGTAGGTTTTAAATAAGATGATAATAGTATTGATCTAATATTATATTTATAGTATTTAATTGTTGAAACTGTTAATAAACATGGACAAGCAGAACATCATCGTA